TTGTGAAGGTGAGCATCCCCCTGGTTCTGCTGGGCTGGACCTGCCCAGCTAGGGTGGCGGGGGGTGTGGGGTGGGGACAGGAAGGGTCCTTTAAAGGACAGGGAGCTCTTTCTCCTCAAAGTCCACTATTAGATACTGGGTCACCTCTCCTTCCCTGCTACTTGGTCCATTCATTCTTTCACTCTCCTTCACCCATTCACTCAGTCCTTCATTCACTCGGTCATTCATTCACTTGTATCTGAGAGGCAGAGACCTCGGGGGGGTCATGCACCATGGCGTATCCCACCATCCACAGTTACTGCTTGCTTAATTCTCAGTCAACCCCCGAGACGGCTGTTCCCCAGACCTCAGCACAGCACCTGGCATGGAGGAGACATTAATGATGTCCCTATCACACAATAAAATCCTAAGTCCTCACTATGGCTCTCAAAGCCTTCCATGATCTGAGCCCAAAGATCTCTCTGGATTTGTTGCCTTCTCTCTCCCCATCACTATCCGAGCTCCAAAACCCCAGGTTGAAATCCCAACTCAACCACTTAATAGCTGTGTGACTTTGGACAAGTCCTTCAACTTCTCTGAGCCACCATCTCCTCCTGGGCAAAGTGGGGATAATAAAAGTACTTGCTTCAAAGTTGTTGTGAGGATTAAGCAAGAGAACCCAATGAAAAGCTGTCAGCATGTGCCTGGCACATAGTAAGCACTTAGCTATTACCACTTGTCTCCTCCTCTGCTCCTCTCAATTCCACCACTCCCACTAAATCAACCTTAGGACCTCTAGGGGAGCAGCCATGGAGCCCCGGCCCTTCAGTCTCCAGATGAGGATGCAGAGGCCCCGGTGGAGGAAGGAACTGCTTCAAGGTCACACAGCCAGTCTGTGGCCCAGGCAGGACCTGAACCCAGGTCTCCCGCCGAGGCCCCTGCTCTTTCTGCCGGTCCCACCTTCTCAGCCCAGCCAGAGTGGCACGACCTATACTTACGTGCTCGCACCCCATCGGTCCAACAGCTCTCTTTCCCGCTCTCAGGAAGGAGTTAAGTCCTGAGGTCTGTTTCATGCCCCGGGTGTCTGCTTATCCTATTTCTGGGGCAGCATCTGCGTGGCTTTGAAGACTCAGGCAGGAGACTGGCCTCCCTGTAAATGGGCTGAATTACATTTACAAGAGGCCTTTAATGCCCTGTGGTCTCTGCTTCCTTAATAGGGCTTTTCCTCCTCCTCCTTTTTTTCTCTCCCTTTTAATATGGTCACCGGTTTGGCTTTCAGAGTGTGGTGTGGATTCCTAACAGAGAAATCGAGACCATAGAATCCCTTCCAGATCTTCCCTCCCTTCCCTTCCCCACCCCCACTGCCTGCACCAAAGCGCCGAGAAAAGAAAGGGGGACTCCTGTCAGGATTTCAGCGGGAAGGGGAGAAGCCCTGTTGGGATTCCAAAAACTTGAGCAGGAAATAGCTGGTACGGAAATGCCCCTCTGGCTGTGCACCTGAACCACAGACCCACGAGCCCTGTGGAGGGGATGGAAGGTCCAGCCCAGAGGCGTGGCGGCCTCACTGGCAGAGGGTGGGCTCAAGGGGCAAGGTGGGGGTCCTGTGCCGGTGTGGCTGAGGGGCCAGGCAGAGCCCTCCCACCTCCCGACCCCCATCCCTCCCTTTTCAGAACCTTCTGCACCTCGTGGAGGCCTTCACTGTCCCTTAACTATTTTGCTAGTTCTGTCTTTGCCGCTGGATCAGGTCCTATCTGATCTCTATCTCTGTCTCTATCTCTGATCTCAGGGACACCAGACTCAGTCAGAGGTTTGGCCAGCCTTGAGATGAGGGCCTGGGAGGGGGACCCCGTTTGTCTCCCCATCTCCCTCCTTTCCTCTTTGTCCTCCAACAGGATGAGAAAGAGCAGGAGTGCTATTTTTGGAGAATGGATAAAGCGCATTTTGTCTCCTTTCAAAAGGAGCGCATGGCTGAGCCAGTCTGTGGGCGCTGGCCCTCCTGTGGTCTCTCCTTTGGTTTCCTCTGCTTCTGAGATGCGTCCTTCAGGGTCCTGTGAGATACCGCTGGACCGCTGGTGTCACTGGGCCTGGGCGACCTCCAGCTCCTGCTGGGTCACTGGCTCAGTTAGAAGGCTCAGCCCCCAGCCCCAGGGCCGCCCATCATCTTGTCAGTCCTGAGAGCGGTCCCCTCACGCCATGCGTTTATTTTTACACGCCGTCCCCATGGCGGCACACATGTGCTCTGCGGCACGCAGGCAATAAAGTGACAGGCAGCCAAAAAAGGGTAGGAGGCAGAGGCCAGGAATACCAAATCTGTGACATCTTCCCCCGGGGAAAAGCGGCCGTCTCCAGTGTCTTGATAAATCACGTTTTATCTTCTTTCAAAAGGAACACGTGGCGGAGCTGGTTTATCTTGATGACATTGTCCAGCCTGCACAGTGTCGTCCCTCAGACGGGAGATGGCCCCTCTGCCTGGCTTCAGGGAGAGAGGGAGGGAGAGTCTGGGAGGGGAAAGTGAACGGACCACAAGTACCTATGGGGCATCTCCTGTATGCAAAGCCTGGTGCTAAGTGGGGCGTGTGGCGCCAAGGGGAGGCAGGAGCTGCAGACCGCTGCCGCTGGTTCGCGCCATATGTGCAGAGACGAGAGACACGGATGGAAACAAGTCACACGCAACGTGACGAGTTAGATGTCCCGCCGTCTGACTGGAGCAGGGCTGGTGACCAGGACCGTGGTGACAGGGAAGTCGGATGCTGAAGCAGCTGCCTGTGCTTTCAGTGCCCCCAGGTCCCCTTACCATTCACCTCTACCTGCCAAAGGATGCTCCTGGGGACACCTGGGGGCTTTGTTCTGGCCCCGCTAGCACCCTTGGCCAGAAGTGCCAGAATTAATGCTCTCAGAAGATCAACACAAGCAGTGACTTGGAGATAAATACCCGAGCCCCCTCGCCTTCGGTTGGGATCCGTCCGTGGTGTGTGCTGTGTCATCTCCTGGAGCTCCCCAACAGAACTGAGCTCCGCCGCCACAGAACTGAGCTCCGCCGCCACAGTGATTAACTGGCTTGATAATACTTCCTTCTCTCCCTGCCTTACTTCCCACTCCTCTACTGGTGTTTCCCAGCAGCGCCTCCCAAATAAACGATGTGCATTCAATTCCTCGTCTCTGGGTCTGCTTCTGGAGAAACAGCCTAAACCAAGGCAATGCTTAGTACTTCACTTGGACCATGACAGAGGAAGCTTAAGTGGATGAACATGCAGTCTACATATTTGTTCACACGCAGTGGGAATTATCTCAGTTAGGACCCCTTTAAAGCAAGTGATGAAAATCCATCTCCAACTAGTTAAATTAAAAATAATTTTACTGGGCCGGCCCCGTGGCTTAGCGGTTAAGTCCACGCGCTCCGCTGCTGGCGGCCCTGGTTCGGATCCCAGGCGCGCACCGACGTGCCGTTTCTCCAGCCATGCTGAGGCCGCATCCCACATACAGCAACTAGAAGGATGTGCAACTATGATGGACAACTATCTACTGGGGCTTTGGGGGGAAAAAAAAATAATAAAATAATTTTATTGTTTTATACAAGTGAAAAGTACCAGGTAGACTCTGGGTTCAGGAATAGCTATATCCAGCTGCTCAAATGATGTCAAAGGAATCTGCCCTTCGCCATCTCTTGGCTCTGCTCTTCAGTCATTCAAGAGACATTTATCGAGCACCTGCCTTGTGCCGGACACAAATCTTTTTTCCTAATCGGCTTCCTTCTCAGGCAATAATAAAGATGGCCACTAAAAGCTTTGGGCTTTCATCCTGGAGCTTAGCACCTCCAGAGAGAGAAGGCGCCAGCTGAAGTCTCAGGGCTGAGCCTCGTTTGCCCAGATCGGGTCCCCTGCCCATCTCTGGTTGGTGAGGCTGGGTCCCGTGCCTACCTTTGTTGCCAGGGGGTGTGGTTAGCTCCATCTGAACCACAAGAACCGGGACTGGAGGAAGGTGGTTCTCCAAAGAGAAATTGGGCAGACGTGGACAACAGATGCCTGTTACAGCCACAGGGTGAGCACTTCACCATGTGGCGGACTCCGTGGGCCCTAAGATGAGTCAGACAGGCTGCTGGTGGAGGGGACTCCGAAATATCTGTAACACAGCAGCATGTGGCTACTGCCTTAGGAATAGACAGTGTGTGGGTGTTCTGGAAAGAGGGAGATTACTCCCAGCTCGGCCAGTCGAGGAGGGCCTTCTGAAAGGGGGCATTGGCCTAGACCTTGACAGCCACTGGGCACAGAATTTTCAGCCATGTTGGGCCTTGAATGTCAAAACAAGGGGTTCAGATTCTAAATTTAACCAACCGTAAAAGGCCTATGCATTGATGTCTTGTTGTAATTGAATTCGGCCCTCTCGGAAGAGTCTGCGGGGAAGGTTTGAGGGGCTGGCGTTTCCTGTAAGCCCCATCCCTGTAGAGGGGCACCCCAGACCAGCTGTGCATCAGCCCCTATGGCTGGATGCTGTGTGTATGGAGGCTGGGAGAACAGTCAGGCTGGGGCAGCTGTGCTCCCCTTGGCATTGGCTTGTGCCTGCCTTGGAAGTAGCCACCCACCTAATCTAAGAATAGGAATTCCTGCCTGGCTGGTAGGAATGAATGCTGATTTCTCAAAGAGGGATGGGCCTGAAAACAAAACACAGCATGTGGGTTGGGCCATCCTTTGTATTCATTTGCGAGGTCATTTGGGAGCCACGCCCACGTCAGGGCATGGATCCCGACATTAGACCCAGAGAAGGTGACTTGGCCAAGATGGCAGCCTCCAGGGCTCCTCATCTGCCCATGAGGTCCTGGGCCCTCAGCCTTGAGCGCCTTCTGCCCTCTGGGAGAGGTGACCAGTCCTCCTTGTTTCCTTGACAACGGGCAGAGGTGGTGACAGGTGATGACCAGCTAAGACGCGGAGAAGCCAAGGGAGAGGGGAGTGAGAGGAGGGCGGGGGTCCCTGGTCCTATGGCAGCTCTACCTGGAATCACCCAGCTCACAAGCATCTCTCTTCCAGGCAAGATCCTCTTCCGGAGAAGCCACATCCGGGATGTAGCTGTGAAAAGGCTGAAGCCCATTGACGAGTACTGCCGGGTAAGGGTGTGTCTGGGGGTGGGGGAGGGGCTGTCCCTCTGAGAAGGAAGGCTGTCTGTACAAAAGTCTTGGCTGTGGTTTAGCAGAGGCATCCTGAAGCCTGGTGTTTCCTGGCCAGAGGAGCGGGTGTGGGTGTCCCTTAGGGAGGGGTCACCCCGTGACTGGGCCCCGCTCTGGGGCATGAAGGCCTCGGGCTCCCAGCTGAGCCTCTGCTCCTTTCAGGACCTGTCTATGTTTACTAAACACTCTTTTAAATCACTTCCACCGGCTGGGAGCTAAGTGAAGGGACCTCCTGCTGAAAGAATTCTGTATGTGGCATTTCGCTGGACATAGAAGATCTCTTTCTTTGAATTCCTTTTGGGACGTTGTTGGAATCAGTTCTGAGTTCATTAGCATCCAAAATGCCTATTTGTTTTTTCACAGGAGTTTTGATAGATGCAGATCTTTATGGACACATCTTTATGGATGCAAATGCTCGCACATACATACATGCGTGCACACACACATTTACAACAGCCAATGCCAAACAGCAGTGAGAGCGACAGCAGTGTTGTGAAGCAGAGCCCGACTGTCTTCCTCCTTTGATTAGAGTCCAAGACCCCTGCAGTGAGAAGGAGAGGCTCCCACTGTAGTGGCCTTGGCACGTGGCCTCCAGATGGCCAGAGCTCCTGGGTTCCAACCCCTGACTAGCTTCGTGAACTGGGGCAAGTTACTTAACTTCCAGGTGCCTCAGTGTCCATGTCTGTACAATAGGAAGGAGAGGAGCGCCTCCACAGAAGGTAGTCGTGGGGATGAATCAACTGACACACGTAAGGCAACAGCATGGTGTCAGAGACAGAGGAACGTTCAGTAGACGCTAGCCTTTTGTTGTTTTTATTACAAGGTGTAAGCAGTTTAATGTTACCGCTGGGCACCACTGGCTTTAATGGAGATGCAAGTTCTTAGTTAAATGAAACCTACTGTGGAGTCTGACTCAAGAGTCTTGAGGAGAGGCACGTGTGGGATAATGTTTTGTTGCGAGTGCTGGTATTCGAGTGAGAAGAGCTGGGCTCAAATCTTAGCGCTCCACCTACTAGCTGTGTGACCTTGAGCAAGTTGCTTTACCTCTCTGAGTACTAGTTTCTTCATCTGTAAAATGGGGGTAAAAACAAGTATCTCATGGGGTTCATGAAAGGGGTTGAGTGGGAGAGTGTCTATCACAGTGTTTGTAACTTCTGAAATGCTCCGTCCCGACACGGAGTTGTTACTGTAAGGTCCCTTTCTGCACTGATATGTTATAGTTCTGAATCACTATGTTTGGCAATAAAAATGTTTGAATAAGAACCAAGTTGCTGAATTTATTAACTGGTGTTAGGAAAATGAGCGCTCCCATATACTCTCCATGAACCCAAGTTTGAATTTCGTGACTGTGCAGGTTATACCTGGTTACATTTTCTGCCTTAACCTAAAAGGATGCTCCAATAATGAATTCCCTTAAGTTAGAAGCTCCTCTTCTTTAGATCAATATTCATCTTTCTCTTTAAAGGGCATTTGCCATTTCCAGTTAAATTGATGGCTGCAGCCTGAGATTTTATTTCTCTTTATTCCTTTCCCAAGAAGTTAAATAAATGGGCAAAGCTAATGGAGGAAGGGGCAAAGGGCAGGAGGAGGCCTCTTCCCTCTGGGATTTATGGCTCAAATCAGCCTCTGCCTCCCTGAGCTGGGGGAGCCCGAGGCATCTGCATTGGGCTCTGTGGAAATGCAGTCTCCTCCATCAGCTGGAGGAGGAAGCCAATAACATCTTATCTCCCGGGATCAGGCTTTGAACAGGACTCCCGGATCAGGAGGAGATTCACGGGGCTCTGGGGCCCCAGGGGTGCTGCTGGTGGCTGGGGAAGCCATTAAGTAGGGCCAGCAAGAGGAGGGCCTCCTAACCTGATTAGCGCAGATGAGAGCTGCTCAGAGCCGGGCCACAAGGAGCAATGTCCTGGGTTCACCAACCAGCCAGCCATCCCACAGGCCGTAATTTACTCTGAGAATGGCGGGGGCCAGGGCAGTGCAGAAGTGACCTTTAATTCTGCTGAACTAGAAAGCTGGGATCTGTGGTCTGATTGTCTGAGACCTTGGAATGACCCTGGAATCGTCATTAGGGATAAGCCAGTCCATAGTCACTGTCACCCGTGTTTGTACTTCACAGCTCTGCCGTCCAACAGTCCAATCTGTGGCCACTCAGGATCCAACATTTCACTCAACGTCACTGCCCCCCACAGCACATTCCACGGTCAGTGCCATGTACAGTCCATTCCATGGTCAGCTCTTCCCTTGTCTATGCCTGTCCTCAGACACACTGCTTAGAAACTCGGAGGTTTTTCTTTCCAGTACCCTGCACATGCAGCTCTGCTTGTCTGGCCAACATCTTCTTCCTTGGACCTGCTAGACAACATGGGCTCCAGGTCTGGGATTTGCTGGGGATTCAAACGCACCCAAAATTGTGAAGCTGGCTCTGCGTGCAGAGCAGCCGGCTCCTCTGCCAGGACTCAGACGTGGAAAGTCTGACCGTGCAGTGGACTCCCCAGACTTCGGGCTCCCTGCCCTTGCCGGCCAGACGGTCCCTCTGCCTAATGGTGGTTTCACAGCCCAAATCTCAGTGTTAATTTTAAACATACATGGAGCAGATTGGATGAGCGTCACAGAAAATTTACCGAGCACCAGCCCGGTGATTGTTTTATGTGGCACTTGAGGGCCGGTGTCTATCAAGAAGGGTTCCAAAGGCATTTCTTTAACTCCATAAATTAATTTAATGAGCAATATGGTTATGCGGTTAGTATTTAATGGTTCTGTGGCCTTGACAAGTTGAAGACTTTCATCTCACTAACAAGGGTGAACTGTACTTCAGGGTCTCAGATAGCAATCTCGTAAGTGACTCCATTTACCCTGTTCCTGCGTGTGAAATACAAGTTTGTAGTGTTTGTCTAGGGGATAAAATAAATATCCCAGGTGGGGGCAGTGAGAGAGAGTGTTTGAGAGTGATCACCTTGCCCTCTGCCATGTCATGGCGTTTATGTAAGTCTCCACTTCCTGGTGGGTGCGGCTAGAATTGTTTTGCTGCCCAAGAAGCTGAGCTTGCTTCTGTTGTTCTGTCCACCACGGAGACTTGCTTTCAAGGTCAATGGCTTTCTTTGTGGAAGGGATGAGGGGTTGGCTGTAGTTGGACTGGGGGAGGGACTCCAAGCCCAACACGGGGGTCAACCCTGAGGGGTAAGGATCTCCCCACTCAACCCTCCCCATCTCCTGGATGCATTCCTTTTTATCCCCACTTCCCAGATTTGAAAACTGAGGCTCTAACTTGGTGGTGGTTCTTAGTCCCAGGTATTCTCCCTCCCACCATGGGAATTTTCCACCATGGCCCATTGTTGGCTCTTCCCTTAATGAAGAGAAAGGTTCATGTTGCAGTCGAAACAGACTCCTTCAGGAAGTGCCAAGGCTCCCCAGCATGCTCGGTCCTAGTTACGGAGAGAATAACTGTGCTTGTGGCTCTCCTTTGAAGGGTGGGCCTGGGCCATGAGTGTTGCTGATGGGGGAGACTGAGGCAGAGAGCCCAGACTGGTCTGTTCATGCCTCTCGAGTAGTCTGGACTCTGGGGAACCCAGTTGGCAGAATCTCTCCATCTCCTCTGGTCCAGACAGATCCAGGAAAAGGAGTTTCCAGCCTGGGATACAGCTAATTATGTCCCTTTTCTCCTTTAAGGCCCTCAGAGGAGCTCCATTGCCCACAAGAACCTCCAAGCGGCTCAGCCAGACACTCTAGGGAGTGTGCCAAGTACCGCTCGGGGCTCAGCTCCACCCCTCCCCCCCACACCCTGCAGTCCAGTCTGCCGGGAATGCAGCCATTCCCAACTAGCCAGACTCCCTTAGGCTTCTGCCCCTTTCCTGGGGACGCATTCAGCTCCCATGGTGCCCCTCCTAGAAGTCCCCCGACTCCCCAGGGAAAGCTGACCACCCCGGCTCTTCCGCTTCCCAGAAAACTCTGTGCATGCCTCCACGCTGCACGCTCATCCTCCGTGGGAGGGTCATTTCTGTGTGTCCATCTTCTCCAGACCAGGAGCTCCTTGAAGGCCACATCTCTTATCTTTGTGTCTTCACTAACAATCAGGGAGCCTGGCCCCACGTGCTGTCCAGCCAGTATCTGAGGACAAGATGCAAAGATCACACACAAGCAGAGGAAACCTCCGAGGAGGGTGACATGTCCCCGAGTCCCCGATGTACTAGGATCCCTTGTGAAATAGCTTAAACTCCAACCGCGAATTAGACTCTATTTCCATTTCAAAAGCATTTGCTGCTTACATCCTTCAAAAAGACAGCTCGTGTGTTGGAAATACTCCAATTTACAGAAGTTTGGTGCCCCCCAGCTTCCCAGACGGTGATCTGGGAGGAACAGTCCTGGCAGCCTCAGGCAATGGGGGCTGAGAGTGGGGGCCAGTCAGGACTGCAGCCCCTGGCTTGCACCTCACCCTCCCCAGAGTCGCTGGGATTTTACCTATGGGATTTCCCTTGATTAGAAACCACAACGATGCTGCTAAGAATAAGAAAATGTTCGACCCCGTGGAAAGAGCAGGACACCCACAGTTGTTCTGGCCAAATGCACAACTTCGCTTTCTGTCCTGGGACCAACATTACCCAGGGCAGTGGGCTTCGTGGAGGGGGATCGTTTCGAAGCAGGAGGTCTGACCGCAGTCAGCTTGGGGCCCCTCCCTCGCTGCTGCACTTGAAACACCAGGCTTGTCCCGCCATATCTGGGTGGAGGTCTCAGGGGCACACAGTGCAGCCACCTTCTGCCTTATTTAGATCTGCACCATCTGGAATGATGACACGGTGCCAAGTGGTGGCCCAAGTCACTGGCCCCCAGAAAATGGTCTTGGGAGCAGTTTAGCACTGGAAGGACTGGCTGATGGCAAAACCCGGCTGGCTCTTCAGTGCCTCATTACCAGTCTCCCCGGCCTTGGCACCCACTGCCCTCGGCCCCTTCTCTTGCCCTGTATCCCCAGATCTGCTCTCAGCCAGCTCACCAGCCCCCTGGACCATGGATAGCAGGGTGGGAAGAGACTGAAGTTAGCTCAGCCGACATCCCGCAGGGCCTGCATGCTCTAGGCAGCCCCACGGGGCAGTGGCCCCTCCTTAGATGCTGAGGGCTATGAGGTCACGCCCATTCCAGCTCTTCTCCCACCTGGGGTCTTCAGGACCCTCCGACCTTACCTGAGTCAGCGCCATATGAGAAAAGTCAGTCAGATTGATTGATAGATCAGACGCTGAATTCACTGATAATAGTGCTGCTCACAGACCTGACTTAGAGCCAGAAGAAACGTCAGAATGTCTGCAGCCTGGATTTGTCCCAGCTGTGTTCTATGGGCTGTCAACAGGAAAACCAGCTCCACGGTCAGAGGCCTGTGGGTAATGCTGGAGGCAGTACGGTGTAACAGATGAGACAAAGCATAGGCTCAAAACTCAGATGGGCTGATTCAAAATCTTGCTGCTTACGACCTGTGTGGCCTTGGGAAATTACTTAACCTCTCTGTGCTTTAGTTTCTTCTTCTGTAAAATTGGAATCATAATCATATGCATCTCTTAGAGTTAATGTGATGACTGAGTCAATCCCCCAGGATGTCATTATTATTAATGAATGCTGAGTAAACAAAGTTCTGCAGGTTTCTTTTGTGCAGGACTTCTCAGGGCCTTTTCTATGCTGATGAACATGGTGATCCCCAAAATGGGGATCTACAAGGCGCCGTTTCACATGGGCCCACAGAACTCATTTCATTTCATCAAACAGGTGTTCCATGAGACAGTTTGAGATCCTAGAGCTAGTCTATTTTATCCTAGAAGAAACGATAACCAGAGAGCTGAAGTAAGCTGCCCAAGGTCATGCAGCAAGTCTATAATGGCAGAATTGGAACTGGAATTGAGGTCTCCTGACTCCTATTCCAATGTTCTTTCTAGTCTGCATCACTGCTTTCACCTAAAGAATAGTGACAACGAAGACAATCGTGTGATGACTAAAATTCACCGAGTGTTTACTCAGCGCCAGGCACTGTGCTAAGCTCCTCCTATTCATGATCTCACTTAACCTCCTAACACGCAGGTGCCACATCCAATCCACTGTACTGAGCTCAGAGAGGGCAAGTAACGCATTCAGCATCACACAGCGCAGGAAGGGGAGAGCCAGGACTCAAACCCATGTCTGCCTGGCCCCGAGGCCTTGACTTAGCCACCCTATGGACATTCTGAATGTCCAATGGCAGAATTTTAGGCCTGAGCCGGGGGTGGTGCCCCTGAAAATACCCATGTATTGGCCCCCACCTGCTCCTCTCAGGACAGCTGGGTTTGGGGGTTCCCGGGCTCTGGCAGTTGTCACCAGCCCAGGCCTCGGGGACTGACTGCTCAGCACCTGGCTCTCCTGCCAAATGATTTTGGCCAGAGCTGGGCTTGGCAGCGGCTCTAATGGAAGCTGCTCCGAGCTGAGAGCCTCTTGTCAGCCTGAAATCGGGACGAGCCCTCAATGCGGCTCTCCTCGGGGCTCCCTGTTAAATCAAGATGCCGCGGTGGTTCAACCAAAGGCCTCTTTGTCTGAGGCTCTCACAGCCCACACGTCCTCGCCTCCAGAATGCTGGTCTCTGTCGGCATGAACAGCCCCTATGTTCACCGCTGGTGCTGGATGAGCCAGGGGCCAGCCAGGGTCTGCGCTGGGGTGGGTGGCAGTGCGCTGAGCTGGGAGGGCACTAGGACTCTGGCCGGGCTGGAAACCTGCCCTGCCTCCCCCCCCGCCCCCCAGAACCTTTCAGGGAGGTGACCGTGGCAGCGACTCTGCACACAGCCTGGGGCTCTGGTAATGGTTTCCCTCCTGCCTCCTGCCCATCCCGGCCCATTAGTGCTCCCTCCTCAAACCCTCCTGCCTCCCACCAGGAGCTCTTGCCCTGCACTCGCCTGATTTCCACTTCTCTCTCTGCCTCTGTCTCTCCGTTTCTCTCTCCCTCCATCTTTCTTTCTCTCTTCATCTCTCTGTATATCTGTTTCTCTGTCTCTGTCTCTCTGTCTCCCTCTGTCTCAGTCTCTCTCTCCCCCTCCATCTCTCTGTCTCTGTCTCTCTCTTCTTCCTCAGTTTTCCTTTTCCTCTGCCCTCCCTGGGGGAGAAAACAGCACGTACCACGTGTGTTAAGTGAAAACCTGAACCCTGTGGGGCAGGTTCCACCCATCCTCCTTTCTGAGCACCAGGCTTCATTCTGCCTCTTACTTTAGTTGTGGCTCACCGCACCCCCCCCAGCAGCCTCAGTGTCCCCATCCTAAACGGAGGCAACGACGTCTACCTCCACGACAAAATGGGGTGACACGTGGTCAGGTGTGCTCTTGCAGGGCGGGGGCCAGGGCTGGCTCGTCCCAGTAACACTAGGGCACAGCCCCTGTCGGGCTCAGAATGAAAAGCCCGCCCTGTTTGTTGGGTAATTGAAGAGTCGAGAGGCCCAGGAGGAGCCTGACAGGTGGTAGTTCTCATTACATGTGAATTTCTCCTCTTTTCTGTTTCCTGTTCCTGCGGATGTGATCTGTTAGAAAGCCTGGCTCTTGGAGGAACGGCTGGGAGTTGCAGTGTTGTCTTTCCTGCGTCAGTGGGGTCTTGTCTCGTCTTGCCCGGGTGTGGGTTTGGCATCGAGAAGGCCATTGGGATATGTTGCCTAGTGCTCGATGCCACACTTGAATTGTTACCCGACCAGCTCAGAGAAGAAGTAAACTATCGCTTCCCTCTTCCTAAACACTGTACTTCTGTCAATATGACCTAAGACCACATGGGGCTTTTCTTGCCCCATTATCATGTCCCACTATTGTTGGAGATGGGGCTTCTGCGTACCCAAACCCTTATTCACTCATTCATCCATTTGAACAAATGCTTATTGAGGGCCTGCTCTGTGCCAGGCACTCTTCTAGGATCCGTGGACACAGCAGACAACAGATGAGACTGAAGTCCCTGCCGGCGTGGAGCTTACCTTCCAGCAAGGAAGGTACCCTCGATGGGGCCTGTGGGCAGGCCACAGGGCCTCCCTGAGCCTCTGTCTCCTCCTCTGTAGCATGGGGATGAGATCTGCCCTCATGATCTCATCATGAGGTTCCCAGGAGGTGCACCAGGGAGGCCCCAGCATGCTCGGCACAGGGTAGCTGCTGGATCAGGTCATTGCGTCTGAAGCAGCCCAGGTGAAGGGGGCCTGGGGAGGCACGGGCGTGTGACAGGCTCATGTCCGGCGGACCACTAACCTGGAGCCTCCTTATCAGCGGCTCCTCACAGCCCCGCAGTCCTGGGTTTTCCTCTCCCTTCTGGCTGCAGCCCAGAGTTCTCTTGGCCCTGTTCCTCAGCCCTGCTTCAGCAGTGACCTCTCCTGTCTGTTTGGACCAAAGGATCATTCCAGTGTTTTCTCTCCATACCGAATTGAGGGACCCAGGAAGCAGGGCTTTGCCTCGCCTCACCTATACCCCTACCCCTCCATGTTGGACTGAGCCAGGTCAGGGGTCCCATGTGCCCCAGGCCACAAGGTGTGGGTATGTGCTGGAGAAGCTCTGACCATTGTCTGACCCAATCCCTCACTTTCCAGCAGCAGACTCTCAGCCCTCCCTGGATGACAAGCTCACAGCTGGCCCACAGCCCTGCCTGGACAGTGGTCCCCCATAGGCTGCCCACCCCTCTCCTCTCTGCCTGTCCAAATCCTGTGAACCCCTCTAGCCTAGCTCATGCCAACTCTTCTAAGAAGCCTTTCCACACCCTTCACTTGTACTGCTCCTCCAGGCATCCTCAGCTTAGCCCACATAAGGCCCTGCTAGATCAGACCCATGCCCCCTCTCTCTTACTCAGTACACTAAAGCCACACCAACTTCATTCAGCTCCTGGAACCACCATGCTTGATCTCCCCACCTACCTTGACCAGTTAATTTTTAGCCAGCCTTCAGAACTCAGCTTCAAAGAGTCTTTCCTAAAACCCCTGCCCCCCAATCTTCCTAGGTCCTATCAAACTCCCTCATAGCACCGTGTTGTTCTTGGTAGAATTATCCACTTGTTGTTAAATGACTAATTGTGCTGTCAGGCTGTGAATATCTGGTGCAGCTGGAGTGTGGCAAGTGGGAGACAAGACTGGTGGGATAAGACCTCGGATTGTCAGGCTAAGGATCTTGGACCTGTTTTGTGGGCAGGAGGGAATTCCTCCAGGGTTCATGCAGAATGACTACTTCCTGAGGGTCCTGAGACCTAGGGTTCGGCGGTCACTGTTTTCTGTTTGATTGGCAGATTGTTTAGTTGGTTTACTGGCTGTTTGGCTGGTTGGTTGGTTGACTTGTTGGCTGGACGGTTGATAGGTTGGTTGGTTGAGTGATTAGTTAGTTATTTTTATTAGTTGACTGATTGGTTAGTTGATTACTTGGCTGGTTGGTTAGTTGATGGGATGGATGGATGGAGAGTTGTTTCATTAGTTAGCCAAATAGTTATTTTGTTGATCAATTGTCTGGTTGGGTGGGTGGGTGGCTGGTTGACTGTGTCTTCCACGGCACAGTCCTTGAGCCTCCCTCATCACTGTTAGACCAAGTTGACCCTGCTTTTGGCTTTTCTGTTCCCGGTTTCATCAGGCCTGATGCCTTTTCTTCCCATCTCTCCACAGGCACTTGTCCGGCTGCCTCCCCACATTTCCCAGTGTGATGAAGTCTTCCGGTTCTTTGAGGCCCGACCAGAGGATGTCAACCCCCCCAAAGAGTGAGTGGTAGCTCAGGCCTCTCCCGTGTGCTTGGGCGGTATGGGCTAAAGCTGAGGCCGTCGTGGGGAGGCCAGGTTGTGGGGACACAGGAAGAGGGAGAGCTGGCAAGGAAAGATGGGCCAAAAAGACAGGGACCATTATTCCCCAGACTCCTATTGCCAAAGCTTGCTCCTCATTTCCTTTACCCCAGGGCTGGCAAGCGAGGGTGTCTCTGCATTTGGGGAGCAGGTTTTCCTGTAAACTCTTTCTAGCTCACAGGTTATTGTAAGGAGCAGATGAGATAGCAGAGAACATAATGGTCATGCTATTCAGATTTTCAGGGTTAGCAGTCCTTGCTCTTAACTGTTGATGGCACCAAGCTCCCAGCTGAAATGCAGGTCTAGGAGGGCAGGTGCTGCCCAGGCTGAAAACTCACCCGCTGAATAACTCAGCAGTCCTGGGCGGCTATAACAGATTTTATAATCATCACTGAAAATAACAATGACTGTCCCTGGAGAGTTCACCACATGGCTTCTACACATAGCATTTTATGACAGACATTAGGAGCCCTGTCTACAGAGGAGGAAACTGAGGCCCAGTGAGGTTAGGTGATTTTCCTGAAGTCATACAGCTGGTTGGATATGTGACAGGCACGAGACTTGAACCCAAATCTCTGATTACTAGTGGCCCAGGGCTGGCTGATGTTTCCATATTTGGAGAGAAATGGGGAACCGAGGTCTTTTTTCTCTCTGGAAGCAGGATACTCTGGGCCCAGAGGTCAAGATGACCCACCCAGTCATGCTGGCTTCTCACATACATGACCAAACTCCATCCTGATGGCCACCCTCTCTTGCTCAGAACACATCCCTCACCTCTGCAGCTCAGAGTAGGTTCTCAATGGAGAGAAAAACCCAGTGTCCACCCAGGAGCTGATGAGCAGAAGGCAGCCAGGGAAGAGTGTTGGGTAGCAGAGAGGAGTTGGAGGGGGTGCTAGTTGATTGCCTCACCCCATATCTCTGTTCCCCTGAAATCTTAAAGTACCAGGATAGGGGAGAGAGAGGCAGGTGGGATTACCACAGAGGGAAGGGAAAGAATGGTACAGGGGAATTGTCTGGGACAGGTAAGGAGATGCCTGGGGCCGTCTGGTGATGTGGAGGGGAAAGTCTGAAGACAAAGGTGTGCGTTGCACAGCTCCAGGGGAGCCATTCATGCTGCACTTTCTGTGAACGGTGCCCATGGAGATTGTAAAGTGCGCAGCCTGCACACCCATACATGGCAGTCCTGCCTAAAGGGTCCCTTTTCTTTTCACCCATACTGTAAGTCTAAGAGCCTAAAATGGCTCGGGCCCTTTGAGGGAGGAAAGAGCATTACCAGGTCAGAGGCTCACCTGGCCTAACAAGGCCATCTCCCTTGCAGGCTGCCACAGCCTTAAAAACAAGAAAATGCCACAAACCATCAGAACTCATCAGTGACTTGGTTCACAATGTGAGTAGTTGAAAACCACAGGGGAGAGGATGATGCGTGGTCTTGAGTTCACAGCCCAACTCTGCTGCTTACTAGCCACACAACTTCAAGGCAGATCATTTGAGTAGCTTCTCCAAGCCTCTCTTTTCCTATCTGCAAAAAGGGCACAGTGATGAATCCCTGCTCTTGCTATGTCCAAGGATTATCTATGAGACGCAGATGACATGAGGGCTGGGCAAGAGCTCTGCAAACGACAGAATGAGATGCAAACGTGTGTTCTCAGCAGAGGGAGGAGCATGACTGCACCCTCCTACTGCGTGTCAGGCTCATGAGAGAGGTTTGCACCAGGAGTTATATATTCTTATCCCCACGTTACAGAAGGAAACGGAGGCTCACACCTGGAGCGGGACTTGAACCCAGAATTTTCTGGTTTCGGAGACCATCTTCTTTCTACTCCTCCAGCCTGCCTCTCTGGTTTGAGGAGGAATCGGGGAGCAGGACTGTGGTCCTGACACCTCTCAGTGTGTCCTCTCTGTCCTCCCATCTCCCAGGGCAGAGGAAGCCTCCTGAGACCAGCAGTAGCGTCCCCGGGTCCATACCTGGCCCTCCCCCTCCCTGGCTATATGGCCTCCTGTTCTCCTTCTGTCGGGAGAGAGAGAGATGCCCCTCCCCAGGCGGGTTGTCGTTGGAGTCACATGTGATCATGTGCTCACAGGAGGGGAGAGGGGTCCTTGCTGGTGGGTGAAGAAGCAGATGTGTCCCTACAAAATCAACTGACCCCGCCTTTGAGTCGTGCCTCTAAACCCCGTTCTGCCAGTCAGCTAAGTAAATGGGTCCTATTTCGTGTGTCCCCCTGCACACTAATGGCAATAGGTTAGCCTTTTGCCCGTCTCCAGCAGGCCCCCGAGGAACGGTGGAAACCAGGCTCAGAGAAACAGTTGTGCATTGGCGAGGCAGCGGGCGTGGCTTTGCGGGGCCAGGTGCTGGGGTCAGGGCCTGCCACTCGACTCTGTAATCTCTGACCATCGTTCAACCTCTCTGCCTTTCTGTTTTCCCATCCCCAAAATGAGGTAATGTGGAACTGAAGGAGCGGTCAAGAGGGCTTTTGGAGGTTACATGTGCACTGAGATAACCCAGCCAGGTGCTGTGGGCACAGAGGAAGTGCCCAACAGTTTTGTTCGTGGAAGGTTGTGGAATGGAGTGGAAGGTGGCTCAGTGTGCCCTCCACCCCTGCAGACCACAGCCTGCCTTTTGCAGGGAGGGGTTGTAAATCATTTGGCCTCCAAGTCTCCATGTCAACGGGGGTCATTTGTCTTTTTCTTGAGGTGGTATAGGTCACCTGGGCAGGTTCACAACTCGTCTGGCAAGAGATGGCCTGAAAACAGGAATCTCTCCAGCACACGACAGGCCTGAGGCTCAGGAAGTGGGGTCAGCTGCGGCCAGACAGTCCTGAAGGGCTTCTCCCTGGCCCAGGCCCTGGCCCCACTCGGCCTCCAAGACCTGCCAAGAGAGGCCAGTGTTCCACTGCAGAGTGTGTCCCCCATGAAGGAGCCCAGACCCGAAGGTGACCCTAGTCTGATAGGCTGACCATCTGTCAGCCAGGGGCCTGCACCCCCTCCTCTTCCCAGGCCACCATACGCCTCCCACCTCCATCCTGAAACATAACCATGGGATCAAGTAACAGCGTATTTTGACTCTGGGGCAACTGTGGAGTGGCTTATCAAATTATCAAAGCCTGTGGATTTAGTTGGAATTTTGCAGATAACCCCTGGCCTCTTTCAAGTGTGCTGCTGCAGGGGCCTTTGAACGTTCACAGGGGCTGGGGAGGGACTGTGCCCCTTTACATCTTGCAGGGAAGACAAGGCCTGGCTTGGTGGGGGAGGTGGGCAGCAGGCCTGAGCCCCTCGCCTTTGATCCCAGGCCACGCACTGGCTTCTGCGAGTGGAGGGCCGGGCCCACCTCTGGACCTCTAGCGGTTGCTCTAGACCACTGGCCCCGCACAGAAAGGATGTTCTGTATAGGCACCTTTGGTGAGCCTGGTGCTGAGCGGTCGTGGTGGTTTCCCCTCCTCCTGCGGCCGCCCCAGGAAGGTTGCTCACGGGCCCTGTGCTCCCTCCTCTAGCCACTCACACTGGCCAACGTGTATTGCTGCTGTGCGTGAGCAGTGCTGAGCTCTTCTCGGGCCCCTGGCTCAGGCCCCAGACCCTGGCATTACTCTAGAGTCACTGCTTTCCTTCACATCCCTCCATCCAACTCGTCAGCACATCCTGCGGGCACTACCTTCAGAAACATCCAGACCCTGGCCACATCTCACCGTCTCCCCTGCTGCTACCTTGGGCCAAGCCAGCGTATCTCCCACCTGAATTCTAGCCTCCTGACTGGTCTCCCTGCATCTGCCCTTGCTCTCTATGGTCCATTTTCAACAGAGCGGAAGGAACGGTCATTTAAAAATATATGTCAGATCCTGTGACTCCTCTGCTCAGAATCCTCCATGCCTCCCAGGTCACTCAGAGTCCAGGCCGACTGGGCCTGCCCCTCCCCTCTGATGGCACCTCCTGCCCCTCTCCCGCCTGCTCTGCTCCAGGCACACTGGCCTGCCTGCTGCTTCTCGCACCTCCCAGCCATGTTCCTGCCTCGGGGCCTTTGCACTGGCTCTGTCCTCTGCCTGGAACACTTGGCCCCTCTCCAAGAGAGCCCCTTGGCCTGTTCCCAACCTCCTTCCAATCTTTACGCAAAGAGCTGCTCAGTGAGGCTGTCTCTGGCCTCTGTTTAAAATCCCCCTGCACTTGCTCTCCCCTGCCCAGCTTCTTTCTTCACAGAACTTGTCACTTCCTCACGTGACTGTGGTTATTGTTGGTCCTCCTGCTAGAACATCGGCTCCAGGAGAGCAGGAGCCGGTCCCTGTCCATTCACGCTGTGTCCCCAGCGCCCAAAGCAGGCCTCAGGAGACATCTGCCGAATGAATGACGGGGGTCACTCAGGCATCACTCTAGTCTTCGTAGGAGGGAGACTGGGATACAATTTTACAGAGGAGATCAAGGCTCAGAGAGCTGGAGTCGCTCACCCGAGGTCACCCAGCTGCCAAGTGGCAGGGCCAGGATCCAAACTCAGGCAGGCTGGCAAGCAAGAGAAGCTGGTGAGGACGCTTCTTAGCCTCTCCTGTGTGGCTTCTGGGGCAGCCGTGTGGCTGGTGTGGGGTGGGGAGAGCCCTGGTCACCAAATCCTGAAGGAGGGGGAAGACCCACCGCTGGAGCTCAAGGGACAAGTCTGGGTGGTGCTGAGCATTAACCCTGACAACTAGATGAACCTGACCTCGTGGAAGCCATACCCCGGCACCCCAAGGTGACCCCCAGCTGTGCACGTGGCCCGCCTGGCGCGGTATCCTGGGACTGTGTGCGCTGTCTCGGCTCTACCTGGCTTTGCTGTATTTGAGCGCCCAGGAACCCCCTGCGGGGCTGCTGGGCTCCCACAGACACGGTAGCCCCCCAGACAGCGGGTCCCTTTGCTCTGATTCCCATGTGGTGTCAGCGATGGCAAACGGGAGCTGAGGCAGGCC